AATTTTTCATGTTCTTTACATCTGTAGGCCTACAGATGATATGGATCAATCTGCAATCACTGGAGCTGATAATTTCAAACAGATTTCAGCACATTATTAAAAATCAAGGGGAAAAAAAATGTAATGCATACTATAGGATTTCGCGATAATTGGGAACGTTTTTAGTGAAATAATAGGTTTTTAAATGTTTGAAATTGGGTGGTCCAGGGGCAGAGGCATTGAGGGGGTTTGTGAGAAAAGCGACAAAGTAGCATTTTGAGGGTCTTACATAATAGATTTCTCAAACACATAATTCAGGAATATTTTATTTAAATTTTCATTAATTTGGGTGTTTTTGGGACTAGAAAAAGTAATGTTATTTTGTCCTGTACATTTGCATGCCTATAGATAACATTCTTCATATTATTTATATCAATCTGCAATCACCGGAGACGATCAATTTCTAACAAATTTCATGCCACATTATTAAAAATCAACGGTTAGATACGCTGGCGCAAATATATAATGCAAGTCATGCTATAACATTTTGTGATAATTAGGAACGATTTTGTGAAATCATAGGTTTCAAAAAGTGTACCTTTTGGAATTGGGGTGGGGGTGCGTCCGCACCCTCTGCATCCTCCCCCTTCCCCCTCCTTTGCCTACGGGCCTGAACTTATGTTTGCGGTACCCTGACCATTAAAAATTAGCAGACGCACTGGGAAGCGTTGTTCACGGCATTGGACTGCAGCGAAAAATGATTCCCCCATCATTAATGGAACAGGCCCACGTCATGCTTGATGTGTATAAGAGACAGCGTCATCCTTGGCTGACTAATTTTGATTTACATTTTGTGTGTCTGTGCCATAAGCAGCAAAAGTCCATGTCAAACCAGCCAAGCATGACTGTTTTGAAATACATTTCACAACAACACAAGACATTTTTCGCTGCAGTCCAATGCGTTAACGCTTCCCAGTGGGTCTGCTAATTTTTAATGGTCAGGGTACCGCGAAAACAAGCCATATGCTAGGCATTATAGGCTAGGCTTATGTGGGATAGGATTTGCAACAAGGTCTTGGACTAAGCCTCTATATAGTAGGAGGCCTGGTCCTAGTCTAGGCCTATAATATAGTAAAATTCTGTATAAGTAGTCATATGATTAGAAGTTTACATTGTACCAAGGTCAATATTAACGATCGCATTTATTTTTCATTGAAAATAAAAAAAAAAAAACTTTAAAAAAGTATATAATATAAACTATAATACCGTAGTTTCATTCAATGGGCCCCGACAGTTTTAAACAATAAAAGCTGGGTTCTGATGTTTGAAATCATGCTTCTGATTTTGTGATCAATCTCCTTTGCATTGTATATAGGCCGTACATTATTTAAACATGTTTAGTTCTCACTAAAATTGGCCTATTCTATTCTCTGTATTTATTTACACCTAGAGTACATAGGACCTACTGAAGGACTATACCAGTCCGATAATGTACCACTCTATGTTCTCTAACAACGGAGTTAACAGTTAATTTTTCAATCTTCAGCAAATTTAAATAGCATCCAAAATCCTCCTTTTTGGAATGTAAGGAAATAGATAGTACTTTATATTTGTTGGATCGATTGTAACTCCTGATTTTAGCAACCCCAAAACGAATGGCACTTCAGAATACAGTACAGTATACCAAAAGTTCTCTCAAATTTAATATCCTATCGCGTTGTTTGTGTTATAAGTTAACTTCCTTTATTTATATTTTATTTTCTTTTAAGCATACAGGTTTGGAATATTTTTAAATCCTTAAGTTAAATTATCTAAAGCTTACTTTTTATTTTCAATGAAAAATAAATGCGATCGTTAATATCGATCTTGGTACAATGTAAACCTGTAATCATATGACTACTTATACAGAATTTTACTATATTATAAGCCTAGACTAGGACCAGGCATCCTACTATAGTATAGAGGCCTAGTCCAAGACCTTGTTGCAAATCCCAGCCCACATAAGCCTAACCTATAATGCCAAGCATAGGGCTCGTGATCGCGGTACCCTAACCATTAAAAATTAGCAGACGCACTGGGGAGCTTTTTTCACGGCATTAGACTGCAGCGAAAAATGATTCCCCCATCATTAATGGAACAGGCCCACGTCATGCTTGGCTGATTTACAATTCGCAAGTCTAGTGCCATACGCAGCAAAAGTCCGTTTTTTAGGCTTAGGCCAGGCTGGTTTTTTGATTTACGTTTTGGAAAAGAATTTGGAGAGGGCGTTTGATCAAGTCAGACCTACGTTTTGAATTTGAATTACATTTTAAAGAAATTAGAACGACATTTTGAAAAATTTAAACTACGTTTTGAAAAATTAGAACTTCATTTTGGGAAACCAGATCTACATTTTGAGAAATTTACGCCTACGTTTTGATAAATTAGACATTGAATTTTGCAATTACATTTTGATTTTAACATGGACTTTTGCTGCGTATGGCACCCCATATAGAACGACGTATTTCGAAGGAGGGGAAGTAGGACTTGCAAATCTTCTGGACATTTAGGTGTGTGCATTTTGTAGAGAACTGTCAAGGCTGCCACTATCCGTCGGTGCTGTAGACTATCAATAGAATACCTGTCTCTGACGGTATTTTCATCGATACTGTACCGATGATTTTAAGGGCCTTCTTCTTGATGGAGCCAATCAATTTGACTCAGAAAAAAAACTACATAACTGGTTGTTACACCAAAGTGCACCAGGTATTTTGGCTGCTAAATCTGGTATCATGTTTTCTGTAAATTCCTATTAACGCGATTTTTTTCTGTGCTGTAATTTTTTTATATTAAGTAGGCCTAATAGAATTTTAAATGTTATTTAACCTTTTTATGTATTAAAAAAAAATTAAGTTAGTCTTTGTGCAATAAACAAATTGTTTTTTTTTATTTTTTTTTTATTTTTGTAAATTTTGTCCATTATTAATGTAAATTGTAAATAGGCCTATTATACTATAATAATTTTAATAATTTATAACTATTTTGTATTGCAAATTTGTTTCGATTATTAATGTAAATTATAAATATATAATATTTTTAATAATTTATAACTATTTTGTATTGTTTATCATTTGTTTACGTGAAGCTATTATTTGAATAAATTTAATGAAAAAAAGCGCCGCTCTCTAATAAACGCTGCATCAAACGTGATTTTTTTTCGCGGCGCTTAATCAAGAGTACATATTGCCATGTGTGTATATGAAACACTTCGAGAAACAGGGTGGGTCTTAAATACAATGTAGGACTATAGCTTGTTCTAATGAATAAATATCACAGTGAAGACACAAGTGTATCTTTATAAACGTTTATTAATACGATGTTGTACTGCGGGAAATGAGATAGGTAACATGGGAACGAGCATGGAAAGTGCCACGCCAATATTTTCTTATAAGCGCCGCTCTCGAATATGCGCCGCACTGAAGCCTCCAAAAATTATATAAGCGCTGCGGCGCTTATTCGATGATTTAAGGTACACATTACAATGAGCTATGAACGGTACTAATACTAATAATATAATACCTTATTGACTGCGTTAAGAAGTCCCATACTTTTTGCCAAAACAATCACGATGATGATGATGATGACGACGGCAATTGCAATTCAACACAATGCAATTCAACACAATAAAAAAAGCATGAAAATACCCCGAAAATTCAAATAAATATTAATTAGCTTCCAACGGGAACAAATCGAAAAAAAGGTAATTTTCACCATAGGCCTACAAACATTTTACTACAAAAATTATTTATTACCAGCCAATTGATCTATGGAAAAGTATACAGGATTTCTGTCAAAAAAATGACGGGGGAATTTAATTCACATTTTTACGTTTAAGTTAATAATTTACATAAATAGACAAATTAGGCAATTCGAATTCAGTACATCTATAACAAAAGATAAGAGAAAATAGGTTACTCATAACACAAAATTATAACCTTTCCTGAATGTTTGTAGAAGGACATCCGAAATTGAATGACAGACAACATTATTATTATATTATTTGGAGTAAATTAGCAGATTCATTTGTGTCTTCTAGCCTATTAAGCTGGATGAAGTTAAGAATATATGATAATTTTAAAATGAAGATTTAAATGCTCTAGGTATAAGGCGACCCCGGATCCCATGCCCCGAACCTCAGCCCCACTCATTGACAGGCTACAGACCTTAGCTGTCACAAAAAAATCTACGCCTATATTATAAAGTTAAACATTGTTATTACAAATAAGGTTCTTATATTTGTTTGTAGACATGGTGTTTGTTTTTGTTGTAGTAGTCCCTGAATCACCAAGGCCGAGGTTTATTTCGCCTTCTCTGTATTGTCTTGCTTTTTTTGATGTAACTTTGTCCTTATTTCTGGCTCCGGGTGTTTAAAGCCGACCTTCTAAGGACTCCAAAAGTGTAGTAGTAACAGGAGGGGTTGCAATAGAGTCCATAGGAAAGGTACAACCGCAGTTCTGTTTTGCTTTCGTTAACTATTGTAGTTACCCTGCATATATTTTTACAATAGACAGAACATCACTCTGGAGAATAATCACAAAAAAGTTTTAGACAAGTTTTAATAATGGCTTGTCTTTTCTTTTTCTTTCTTTTTTTCTTCTTCATTATTCATGTAAGCAGTTCTTTATCATTTAGGAGGCCTACTGTGATTATTGTATTTTGATAGTAATATTGGTGAAATTATTTAATAATAATACTAATACTAATAATAATAATAATAATAATAATAATAATAATAATAATAATAATAATAATAATAATGATGATGATGATGATGATGATGATGATGATGATGATGATGATGATAATTTTAATAATGCAGAAATTTATGTGCACCTTTCGCCAAGGGATACAAGGCGCAGTATATATTTTTAAAAATAGATAACACTTGGCGGTAAACAATAATCTTTGTAACTACAGTATACTGTAATACGAACAGTCAACATAAACTTGCGCCCTCTATCATTGGTGACTAACTCTGGAAATGAGACCCGATATGCTTGACTACCTGTGGTCTTTCTTGGTATCGGTACACAATGTTTACATTATTTTTCGATACTGGGCCCAAGTTTATGTGGTTTCTTCTAGAAATTGTAGGCCATCAAGCAATGTTCCTTATATAAAAATTAACAGTGTTTCGCCATCAGGATGGGCTGTGTTGAAGCAAAGCAATTCAAACATACAGGTAGGCCTAAGTATAGATTTTTGCATCCTGTTTACAGACTGTACTCATGGCCTCTCCTTGACGAAGGTAGACTCGATGTGTACAGTCATGGTACAGTATGTTTTAATTCTAGGGCTAGGCAGTGTGTATTGTTTATAGGCGTATCGATCACAACAATTATTAAAGTTGTGAAATTTCAGAATGGACAGATGATATTTGAGCGATACTTATGTATTATGTAGGTAGGCCTATAGTAGACCATGGACTTAATAAAAAAATTCGAGTGACCAATCAGCATCACTGAAAAGCTGTCAGAGATAGTGTGTGGTGATTGTATGGAAACCAAGTTTTATCGAGGTATGGTAGCGTACTGAATGCTTTATTTAAGATTCAGTATTTAGCCATTTTGATTGGCGAAGACAATGAATGAAAATATGAAATCATGACCTCAAATATTGTACAACAATTTGGGGACAAGGCATTGGGTCAAGTCAGCAAATAATAACCTCACCATAGGCTAATCATTTTTTAAAGCTGTGGGTGAAGAATATTTATGAAAATTCAGTCTTCATGTGTGGAGCTGCATTTACTCCAACCTTATACTTAAAAAAAAAAAATTAATCTTAAGCTCATTCCTGATGATGACATAATTAATGTCGAAATATTGAATCCCAACACGATGGCGTGTATTTCAATACTTTCAGCTCATTTAGTGACTTATTTATTTATTTTTATTTTGTATTCGTCTCGAATGATGCACTGGGTTCTTTATAGTGCAAACAAGCTATTGTGTACAGTACACTGGGCCTACAGGTTGTTAGAAGACTTGTTCTACCACCAGAAACATAGACGAGCCTGCCGCTCGAACTATCCTCAATATTATGACTGTGAGTTGGGGTGCCACAGCCTCAAGTACTGTACTCGCGCGAATAAGCGCCCCGTTTGAATAAGCGCCCCTATCGAAATAAGCGCCCCTCATAATGTGAAAATTTCCTTAAGCGCCCCGTTTTAATAAGCGCCCCTTCTAATTTGAATAAACGCCCCCTCAATATTCCCATCAATCCTGGGACTGTGGGTGTTGGCATGAATTGAGGTGTGGAGTGGAATCACATTCTCCTTTAATCAAATTATCAAAGTGAGGATATTTATCTTTGACAGAATGATGAGAGCTTCCTGGACGGACAGTATATTTCCAACTTTCATCTTCTTACATTTGTCTATAGCCTAGTGCTACTCCTTTTCCGACAATTTGCACCTTTAACACATTCTCATCTAAGTTTTCAAGAAAACCTGCAATGAACATGCCGTCCTGCTATTCTCAATCGACCGATGGAGAACAAGCTAACCACCACCACTAATTTCATCTGCTATTCTGCTGTTATGTAATACTGTACTCACAACATTCTTGTCATGACAAGCCATGCTCTCTGGACGATTATCTTTTCCGTCGCAGCACCATTCGTAATTTGCGGTTTCCTGATGTCCTTATTTAATCGTTTTTCATTCAAAATGTGCCTCTTGGATTTAATAAGTTCTTATCGATTTTCATCTATTTCCATAAGCGCCCCCTCAATTATCACTCTGTTTTTATAAGCGCCCCGTTTCGAATAGGCGCCCCGTTTGAATAAGCGCCCCTCAAAAAGTTCAAAAAATATTTTAAGCGCCCGGGCGCTTATTCGTGCGAGTACGGTAAAATATTATTAATAAATTGAAGCATCATGAAATACTTCAGCACTAATGATGTACAAATGGCTCCAGTATCAAGCCATGCATCACACACTTTCTTCAGCCCTGAAATTCACCAAAATGTTGTGTTTCTATACAGTTGTTTCTTGTGTTCGATCTCCAATTCACCCTATCGAAGCATTCTTTTGTCCAAATCCCTATTTAGAAAAACCCATCACACAAATAAGTACTGTACTATTCTATCAACAAAAACACCTTGATTAAATCACACTTTCCTTTCCTCCATGGTTTAACAACCTTTCCAAATCTCAGTTACATTTATTAATTCAAATCGCATTTGTAAATGGATTTTGTAACTTCAGCTCCCAGCTAAATTCTAAAGTATACAGTTGTTATTTGTGCAGTTTCTAATCATGAATTCTCAATTCCCAGACAGCCATGCTCAAGACAGTTACCACTTACCATCTCCTAGCAACCATTTGTTCACCTACAAAAACCGTTAGTAAACAAACCTTGAGTGCAATATAATTTTCTTCAGTTCTATAACAGTGAATACTTGTTCAGTCAGAGCAAAAATAAATAATGTCAATTCTAATAAATTTTGTTATAAGATGAATTCAGCCTTTTTAAATGGAAGCTTATTTTCTTCACAATGATTTTGTAATTTTAAACTTGAATTTTGAAAGAGGGATCTCAACTTGATCTAAACATTGTATTATGCTGTTTTGCATTTACTTCTACTAGCTACCCTTTGCAGTACTTATGACAAGTAATAATTTAAACTTGTAAAATTTATTCTTGAAAAATGGGTTTGAACATTTAGTGAGTTCTGTAAAACAGATAGGGTCTGTGTTTGTACTGTACTTGTACTGTACTTACAACACAGAAGCATGGAAGTACAGTACTATGTAAATATTGTGTGGTTCAGTGTGAGCACGGAGGAGTTAGTTTAGAAGGAACCATGGCATAATGTTAGCACGGTTTTGAAAAGCTAGGGTGCATTCGGGCAAGTTTTTTGTGTCTAACACAGAATAAATCCGGAAACGACTATTTCCAGTTCTAGCCCGCACAGGTGTTAAAGGTGGACTGCTTGCTGATATCCGCGATATCCGCTGATAATCCAACATTTGCAGCATTTTTGGAGGAGCAATAACAGCATGGGACAATTTTTTATCACTTAATCCCTTTTGATTGTTTTAACACGCACCAGAAGTCAAGTCTGTTGAACTTTTTTTACAGTTTATTTCCAAAAACAAAACTGAAAAGTTCGATAAAATATATTATTTCAACTGAGTGAGCCTATAATCCAGAGTGTTACCTTGTTACATACTGCACGTCCGCCACATGCATACATGATCATGGCACCATTGCTTATTTATACAGTGGTAGTAATGTTCTGTTTTCAAACTACAATTGTCAAACGAATGAAAGTTTATTCATGTTTTATACGCCCAAAATGCACATCTGTGATTTATTTGGAGTTTGCTGTGTATGCTTTATTGTTGTAGCTTCTTCAGGTAATTTCATTACTTGATTGTGAGACAACTACATTATTCTAGTTGACCAACGCCAAAGTCTGTTTCTTAATTAAAGCGGGGGTGACGCAGCTGGGTGACACAAGGGTCCAGGGCAACTTGAAACTCATCATTTGCATAATACCTTAGGTTTTAAGTCCGAGATTATTGGATTATTTGAAAGCCGAGTTCTGCACGAACCGGTAGACCACCCGCGCATACAATACCGGTAATAACCCGATGTAACTTTTTCCTGTTTTCGCCTGTACATGATGATGATACTGGAGTAAGGAGTGAAATCAGCCAACACACACACATCATTTTTATTTTCATGAAATAAAAAAAGAGTATTGCACAGGTTAAAATATTAGGCTATAACCAAAAAAAAAAACAAAAAACAAAAAAACAACAAAAAAACAACTTCAATATATTTAAACAATAGCAGATAAAATTACTACAGGTCTCCCTCTAATTAAATACACTCAAAATAAATATTTAAAGACCACTTTTGTGTGGTCCCAATTAACAAATTTCTTTTATCCTTATTATTAGAATTAGAAACCAAAGCTGCTAAAGACTATGCAAACCCTTGTCCCAAAATTGGTCTTTAGATTAAGGGAGAACTGTAATTTGGTAGTGTTCAAGCTGGATAAACAGGGAGGAATAATGGCAATGAGTCGGGATTCAATGAGTCGCTACTACTGCAATATAATAAATGCCTTTATCCCATTATTAATTCAGTCTTACCAAATTATATAGTGAATTTAATTCAAATTGGTGCAATTTAAATTAAATTACACCTCCAGAAGGTGTCATTTCCCATTTAACTGTTTAGAATTTTTAATTGGATTTTTAATTCCACTCTATTATTGGAATTTAACCTGACCCTGATAACTTTAGTATGGCACCTCATTACTTTGTTATAATCAAGAATTGAATTGATTGTGGAATTCAGGTGTCCCAGACACAAAAACCTTTACACTATTGTAGAATAGTATTTTGTAATGTAGTTATATATAGAGTAGTTTACCAATGGCCTAAGGCATTAAACTGTATATAATTTCCCTTTCATTTTTTGGAATCCTATGTGAGTCAATGTTTAATCAGGCTTTAAGTATGTTGTACTGTATGTAGAAATCCATTGTTATGAATATCGGATTGTGAAATTTTGTGTTGATTGTTTACTTATCACCATGGACACATCCAATTGATCTGTCTGTATCAGATAACTATCCTCCTTTGTGGGTGTTTAATTTCTGATCAATCATCTTACATGTCAATAAGCAGAATGTAAACTTTATAGATTAAACTAAATGACTGACTGGGAAGATAACGTAATACTAAACTGTGAATGCTTTAATATTAATATAATCATTGGGTCCTCTATACTGTACATTAATATGTCCACAATGAAACTTGGAAGCGTACATGTAATTTCCTATACTTCAGGGGCCTTAAGTCTCCCGCAAGTTGCAGCCGTATCCCTGAAATCAGGACGGCCTCCAGCTATCCCGCAACACAGACCAGAATGTCTTGGAATATAACCCATCTCTCGCAAATTCATTAAGCATGTTTTTACTACTGTACTGTTATTACCCCTTTATTGTTGTCTCACAAGTGTTAAAGTGTCAGTCGAGTAAGTGTTAGATGTGCTATTAGATTAAGCTTAGTTGTTTAAACACACCTCCCAGAAATGACATATTCTAACTTGGGACTCCTGGTACATAATGCTATGATCAGAAAAAATAACATCTCCAGTGTTCTCACAGGGTCAGATTTGCCTGAAATACACCTCTTTCGTTGAAAATCTCTTTTTTTTGTTCAGTGGTACGATACGATACGATAGAACTTTATTGTCACAACGGTATATATACAGCTATGAGATATGGATCCTTAAATACACTCATATTTATTTAATATAGAAAAATTATTTAAATACATAAAAGTTGCACAACAGAGCCTAATAGTATTAAATAGTTTTTCTTATGTATTGCAATATGAAAAAATATCTGATACTGTATAAATTGGATATTTTCTTGGTATGATGAAACGTAGATGTGGAATGTGAATATCATGTTCGTATCCTTTAAAGCAACAGCTTGAGTTCTACCAATAAAGAGTATTGAAAGCCCTGCTGGTTTAGCTTTACCAGGGATGTTATAGTCAATAAACTTGCATTGTATCTAGGGGATTAATATATTGCAAATCATCTAGACCTATTTTTTTTAAAATAATTTATTGGTTCAGTAATAATCTATCAAGCAACAATATAAGAATGGAGATAAAACACCACAATCTACGTACTATAGATTGATTTTTGTGTTGTATAAAATTAAAACATGTCATTTTACAAAGAACTTTTTTTAATTTCCATATATTGAGAAAACACAAATATTGAACTTTCCATCCATTCAACTATATTTTCCTGTGTTCTTTCATATGTGACCATTGGTAGTGATGGGAGTAGATTCAATGTTTTTATTGAAGTATTCTTAGTCTGATGAATAAGCTTACAAAATTGACAGAATGTAACTTGAATGTAAGATGATAAAAAATGATACAGTTATAGTACTTTAAGTGTTTGAGTATATGATAAAGCTATATTGCTGAATTATCAAAGAAGGTACTATATGGATATATACAGTAGAATACAAATTTGAATACTGTTTTTGTTTTAAATTAATTAATAATTTGTAATTACCAAACTAATATCAATATATATTTTTTGACTAGATAATTTATAAAATTAACCCTCACTTTTTTGCTTTTCCAGCAAATCAATATATAAAATAAATACTTTTTCTTCAAGAGTCACTGCGCCTTGCAATAGCACAGTAGATACTGTAGATTATTATTATTATTATTATTATTATTATTATTATTATTATTATTATTATTATTATTATTATTATTTATTATTATTATTAGTATTCACAAACGTACTGTATAAAACATGAATACATTTATTTGGTCCAAAGAACACTGAAGCTGACAAACACAAAATAAAAAACAGAGGAAAAATCAACACTAAATTGGCTGGACATGACTGCCAAAAAGCGAACTAAATCACTGTCTAGAGAGAACACAAATTAAATTAGCATAATACATTATAGTCAAGTAAATATATTGTTAAATTATATAAAATGTATGTACAAAGTCATCAATGAAATCAGTCTAAAGTTAATAAGATAAAAATATTAAAAATACAATAACAATTGAAATCCAAGAATTGCAGTGTAAAACTAATGTTAAAATGTTCAATTTACAAGGGTAAAATGCGAGATATGAAATATTCAAATAGAATTATTGCTTTAACATTTCATTCCAAAACAATTCCTTAACTGCACTCATTATAAAAGTCTGAATAATTTGATATTTATTATAGTTTTTAAAAAACCTATATTTTTTAACATAAATGGAAGGAATTGAATATATTTGTGAGGGGTCATCCATTTTTTCATCATATTCAAGTGATTAGAAAACATAGAGTACTCCACTCTTTTTCTACACTGTACAGTACTTTCACTGTTTTACTCCTAGCTGGTTTGTATTTTTCATAAATTATTTTTTTTTAAATGGGAAAACCGATACATTGTACTATACAGCGTATTTTATCTATATCTAAAGAAATAATTTTTTTTAAATTTCTGCAGTGTATTTTATCTATATCTAAAGAAATAATTTTTTTAAAATTTCTGCAGTGTATTTTATCTATATCTAAAGAAATAATAATAATTATTATTATTATTATTTCTGCAGTTAAACCTGCAAATGTAGTAGTAGCAGACACAAATGAGCGAAGTCAAGCAAGTGCCAGGAGAAAAAAGAAGGTGGAGGAACAGCACAAACGCAGCCAATCAGCAGCCAAGGTGAATAGCTACAATCTGCTTATATTTAACAGTTTTATTTTTTTTAAATCAAAATAATTAAATAATTAACTAAACCTGGAATGAAGCATAAAATACACTGTAAGCTCACTCTTCTTACTTAATCATGGAGGCAGGTAACTGTATAACAACAGACCATATAGACAGTCTGTGGTATAACCTATCAAATTTGGCTTGTCGTCTTAACTGTGAAATAGATCCTTGGTAAAGATTACTTGTGGGTAACTTCACTCCATGTGGCATTTAATCTGTTTACTGTTGCCATGGCAATTAAACTCTAAAATCATATTAAGTATTGAAAAAGCTAAAAATACTCTTTATTGTCTCTGAAAAAGAATTTAGTTGATACCTTAAAGAAGGTTATCACTACACAATAGGTATAGTGTAGTATTCTATGCATGCTTAATATAATAGCTCAGGTGTCTGCGGTGCTGTATTAAGAGAATTTTAATTGTTTAAGCTCTATTTATTTTTTTAATGGCATAAAAAGAATTCTATTTTTTTTAGATGCTACATAGCAAAGTTTACATTTGGCCACTGTAATTTTCTTATGAAAAATAATGGTATCTTCCATGATTTTTATTTTGTCTGATGTCAGTAACTTTGGTCTTTTAAAGTTAAAAGTTAAATAATTCAATTTCTAATTCAAGTCCCTAAGCTCAGTACAGTTATTTATTCATCATTATTATCACATCATCATATGTCTCACTGACTGGGCAAAATCCTCTCCTAAACTTTGACAGGCTCTTATTTCTACTGTACGTGACTGATTAACACCTTAGGGGTCGTTCAACATTATTAACAGTTCGCTAGGTGGGAGGGAGTAGACCAATTTTTACACTTTTACATGCATAAAAATGATTGATTGAAAATAACATGCAATGTGTAAAATAATGGTAAAATTATAATTTAACCATGGATATAAATTATAATATTCATTTTTAAGCAACCAAGTACATTGCTTAATAGTTGACTTTGCAAAATCAATTTTTTTTTTGTGCACTTTCAGAGGGGAGGGAGGGGTACTGTACCAAAAAAGAGTAAAATAGGAAAGCTTGTCAATGGACATTGGTTCTGTAATTAATAGACACACTTGACTCCAGGCAAGTAGTGGTTGTGTGATATACTGTACAGTATTATACAATGTGGGCATTGTATAAGCAGGGAGTTATGGTTTGGTTTTAAAACAATGCCCCACTGATTAAATGTTAAAATGGTAAGAAAAGCTATTGTTCAAAATGACTGCAACTGCTGATTGCATCTTTAGTATTGTATGGTCAACTCATCTTTAAGGCTTCAGCCAAGTAAACAAGGCATCTTATATCTCCCATCTTTACATCACTTTTTCTCAAGCACTTTTGAATCAGGAAAGTTAACAGAACTTTGTTAGTCATTGGCATTCAAAAACAATTGCATACTCTACAGGTAGATGTAGGCTATGCTACTATAAATGCTTCGGTTATTTAACACAATTGAATGTTCTATTAGCATTAATAGTAAACTAATTACAGGTCTCCCTCTAATTAAAGACTCCTCCAATTATAGACCCTCCATTTAAAGACCACCTCCAATTAAAGACCAATTATCTGTGGTCTCATATTAACAAATGTCTTTATTTTTATTATTCTAATTAGAGATTAAAGCTGCTGAAGACAATCGAAACCCTGGTCCCAATTAGGTAGTCTTTAGTTAGAGGAAGACCATATCAAAATGAAATCTTGAATATTTTTTTAGCAAGATATTTATTTTTATGTGAGTTGGCATCAGGAAAATATCATACCTGTAGGAGTGATGCTTGTTACCTGACGTGTTATTGTACATACAGTACGTTACTAAATACTTTTAAATATTTGCAAGTGATTCGGGTGGGAATGGAATCCACGACCGCCATAACCACTGGACTACCGAGCTCGTGCTTAGTGACCAGCATTAAATCCGGTAATACCTTCAAACACAATAGCCAGAAAAGAAGATAGTTTACCCTTCAGCCAATTGACGTAATGTGGCTTTATAATTAGCCGCAACTCAAATGAATATCATCAAAATAATCGAATCAACAATAATAATGGTAAAAAAATGGTATTAAGGAGGTGTTTTGCAGACATTAAACACAGTTTTATAACCCTCGGTCTAGTGGTTATGGCGGCAGGCTAGTTATCTGGAGGTCATGGGTTGGATTCCCACCCAAATCACTTGTGATTTCTTTTGTTAGCAAATATTTTGGAACGTACTGAGTATTTGGTACATAACATGTCAGGTATGGCAAAAACATCACTCCTAGGAGATAAGATATTGTTCAGTCAGATACAATAAATCTATTTATTTTGTAACAATTAACATAACCTTATTAACACTCCATAAATAGAATCAACAAAATAATATTTTATTTAAAAGCTTCTTTTTTCTAGCTTCCATGTTAAATATAAACATGGAGGTTTGTACAGTATTCTAAACATGATATTTGTTTTGATCAATTGTAACTATAAGATGTATCAAGGCAAACGTATCAATTAACACCACCTTTGAATAGTTTTTTGTTACATTATGATCTTCGTTTTCGAATTGAGGGCTCAACTAGGATGTAACCGTCTTCAAACACAATAGCGTGAAAAGAAGATCTAGATTAACCTTGAGCCAATTGACGTAATGTGTCTTCATTATTAGCGGCAACTCAAATGAATAACATCAAACTAATCGAATCAATAATAATTTAAGTACTGTAGGTATTTATAGACATTAGCATGGTTTTATAACCCACATTGCATTAGGGAATTATTGCTGATATGGTTTTCTGTCTAAATCATTAATAATATCTGCAATCCCAGAGTGCTGCAGGCAGCAATTTTATTCTCAATACAATTGCTACCGGCCTTTGTCTAAATTATATCCACAGTATACAGTAGACAGTGTATTGCTGTGGGTACTCAGAATGCCCAGCCAGAACTTCCAAGTTAGAATTTCGGTTTTAAATAGGACAAGTAAGAAAGAAATATTTATTGGTGGTGGTAATGATAATGGTGATAGTAATGATAATTATTATTAATAATCGGTTCTTATATTATTGCTAGTAGTAAACAAACATCATTTGAGTTTGTAATTATTGAATTATATTAATAAATTTTACCCAAAAAGTGACTGAAATGTACTGGTAAAGCACAATAAGCAAACCATGATGTCACCAAGTGGTAAAGTAAAGTTTTGTTCAATTACTCTATGTGTTTTTGTTTTTGCAGTCAATATCCAATGTTGCACTTCAGAATTCTGAAAAGTTGTCTACTGCCACCAATAGATCAAGAAAAAGCTTCATGTCAGACCTTCTGGTTTTGAATGAAGCAAGTAAGTGTTTTGCATTGAATTGTGAGTATGTACTATTAACACGTTATATTTTCATTGCGGATTTTTTGGGCTCAGTACGGACTCTAAACGTATGCATTTTCTTTTAGTTTTAAGGCGTATGCGGATTTTATAAGTCCGCAATGACGATATAATGTGTTTATTGCTGTGGGTAACAAATTGGGAAAAAATTTAATAAACTGTCCAGGGAAATGTATCATGATTTTCACTTTGTGTGAAGTATACAATTATTATTTATTTTTTAAAAAGCATAAAATTTGCAAGGTTTTTGTTAGTTCCTAGGTACCAATTCACATAATTTCTAAGATATGCTGTATGTGTAAAGCTAATAATAATGAACTTGAACAATATAATTACATATTGTTGAATTTCTTTATCTTTTTTTTTTATTATTCAAGTAATTTGTTTGAATGGATTATAAAGTAAAATGTACAAGGTCTGTAACTCAACTAATATTGAATTCTTTGTCAAATAATGGTCTTTTAAAAACATTTCAATGTTTTAATTTTTTTGTTAATCAAGGATTTGTTTGTAGAACCATATATATGTACTTGGAACCTAATTTCACAACTACATAACATTTGAACGTTTCTGCAATGTTTGGTGAACATTATTTTGTGACATACCTAACCACAACGTTCGCGAATGTTATAAGAACGTTACTTGTTTGCTGGGTAGTCATCTATTAACTGACATTTATGCTTTTATGATCTTCCCAATACTAGATCAGCAAAATGTAGATTCATCAAAAACTAACGAAACTGAGAAACCCAGTACCTCACAAACTCTACTGCCAACCAGTAATAACAGCAGTCCTGAAGGTAAGGCAATAAAGAGCAACAGACAGCTGCCTGTTACATTTTCAATGTTTGCAATTTAGGCTACAACCGAATCACTTTTAAACATCATTGTTTTTTGTGAATATTATACTATGTTATAGGTTATCTAGTATAAACTTGGAAAATAATAATCTTCTGGTGATTGTATGAAGGTAGGCCTGCTATACCTGTAATTTTTATGCACCTGTTTTCCGGAAAGCACAACTTTGAAATGAAATGATGTTATTACCTACCCTGGGAATATGAAGCATTTTTTACAGTGCTGTAAAATTCCATTTTTCATATCATCTATTTTGTGCCATCTTTGAAGAGTGTCTATACCTCAAAGGCTTTTTAAATTTCTTGTGTTTATGTTATGATTAGTGGTGGAAAAAATGCAAGATATCAATAATTAATGAAATTAGAATAAAAGCTCATCTCAAGCATCAGATAATTAAAAAAAAAATAAAAATCATAAGAACAACTCAAGATGTTTAGGAGCAGCTTAGCTTTATGTACTGTAACAAATCACCATTGATTTTGAATTACTTTTTTATGGCACTTTTAAACATTACTTCCTCTGGTGGCGTGAGCTAACAATCAGTCCTTGTCACGTCAGGATTAGATGTGGGTACTCCTGTAGCCTATTGGTCTGGGTCCTTCTCCAGCCTATCAGGTTTTTTTTACAACTATTAAGCCTGCATGGTATTTAGTATTGACAAAAAAGCAATGATTTTGCTATCTATGTTCTATTTGATGAATGAGGTAGAGAAATTGCTAGATGTCCTTGACAACATTAAATAACAATTAAAAGAGAAAGAGATCAATAGTGTAGTAAGGATCATTGAAGAATAATGGAACATTGATGAATGAAGTACAGTTTTATTTTATGTCTTTTGTGGTAAATTATTCAATATATCATCCATACAACAGTAAAATTATTCACTCAATACATATCATCAATATAATATACAGACCTACATTATTAGTATGACTTTCAATGTCAACCAAGCTTTTCATACATAATACATTAATTTTGTAATCATGATGAATAAAAAGTGTAGCCACGTTATTCGGTTATAGAATAACATAAGAAATGACAGCAGCACTAACAATATAATTTATTCTCCAGCTTTCGTCCACACAGTAGACTTCTGATGAAGTACAAATTGCTAGATACCCTTAAAAACAATCAATCACAATTAAAAGAGAAAGAGATTAGTAGTACAGTAGGATCATTGAAGATAATGAGGTGCAGTTATATTTTTTGTCTTTTGTGGTAAATTTTTCAATATATCATCAATACAACAGTAAATTTATTCACTCAATACATACCATCAATAAAATAAATAGGCCTACCTAATATGAGTATGACTTTCAATGTCAACCAGGCTTTTCATATATAATACATTAATTTTTTTATCATGATGAATAAAAAGTGTAGCCCGTCAGTCTGTTATAGAACAATGTAAAAGAAATGACAGCAGCACTTTTGAGACTAACAATATATAACTTGTACATTCCAAACCCAAGCAAAACTCTGTTTCTTTATAATGAGCAATAAAGAATAGCACATTTAAGACTAACTATAAAATGAACTAGCATATACCTGTGCTCCGCACAGTGTTGGATGATTGGGGGAAGGTGGCGATGTTTATTGTTGAATATTATGGGAAGTCGTTAGCATGTCATTGTTTATCTAAATGACGTCTTTGTAGATAATGTCTTTGTATGAGTGTCTTTCCTGAATAGTCCATGTCAGAAATTATTGTTTGATGAAGGGCAGATCCAGAATTTTGGGGGGTGGGGAACAACAGTTTTAGAAGTGAGTAGCACATAACATTAATATGCAAATTTCGAAAATTTTGTGGCAAAACGGGGATCCGCCCCTGTTCATTATCTGACCTGTTTTCATAAATTCAAGGCATTGATTGGTGAAGCTGGCTTATGACCCTAAATTAAAACTTCAGTGTCACCCAAATCGACCAGGATTCCAGAGAGAGAGCCTGGCCTAGGGCGCCCTAGCTATAGATGCTAGCTACAGTAGTAGTAGGCTAGGCCTGTCTGTAGCAGCGTAGGGATAGGCTAGCCCTAGCCGAAATTATTAGGCCCAGTTTTTCGCCTACAGTAGCTTGTAATAATCATGCCTTGTGCTCAGACATATATTTATTTTTACCTTATCGATTTGTAAAGCATGCCATTTATTGCTGATGTTTTTGAGGCATGACTACAGTAATATTTAGTATACAACGGGTACTCCGTGGCTGCTCATATATTTTGTTGACATGAGTGAGGCATGCGCGGTGACATTATTAAGCTGCGAGACAGACTGTTTCTTTTATGGCCTGACGCGATTTTTTAAAAATCTGAGCACTGTGGTACAGGTTAACAGAGGGGATTTAATGTATTTATGTGACGTAAGCAACTTGCGAAACATGGTGAAACAGGTACAGGTTTTCGGTGGTTTTTGGCTGTTTTTTTCGTTGTTATCCAATATCAAGTCTTGAAAAGTAGTGGAATATGGTCATGACATATAGAAACCCCAGTGTATGAGATATGAGCACATTCCTGCCAGTGGTTTCAGAGATAGGTGAACTTACACCGGACCGATTAGTAGAATTATATAGATTTGCTCTAGCTTTCATAAACACATTATATTGAGATAAGTTACTACTAGCTTATTAATTTAATAATTATAAACACTACATTTGATACTGTGGGAATCAGTAAACTTTTAGAAATTGGTAGAGAAGCATTGGATTATGTTGGAATGAAGAAAGCCTTGAACACTGAAAAAAATCATTGTATCTAGGTACTTTTAGGCTAATCTGTAGTTTCTGTTTTGATCCCTCAGGTCATTAAATTAGCTCAAATACTACTTCTGAGCAATTGAAATCGAATTGAAATGCAAATATTATCATTTCAAATCAGTGTAATGGTGTGCATAGAATACTCCGGGGATCCATTTTAAGCCACTATTTCTGCTAATCTGTACTATAATGATTATACTTAATGATATCTCAAATTACAAATGATGTCATCATAAAAAAAGGGAAATTTAGAGAATATGAAATTATTGATATGAATGTACAAAACCAAGTATGTGTAATGAAAACAGAATGTTTGTCATCCACAAAAAAAATCCTGTCACCTTTAACTATTGTTGATGAATGTTTCTAAATGTTATATACACATACTGGACCAAATAAAAACTACATCAGTTAAATTCTTGCATGGCCTGTACTATTAAATCTACTTGAAGAAGATGTACAGTATTCCAGAACATCCCCAAACAAAGAATGAAAAGGCTCCCAATGCCTGACCAACTCAAAATCCTGGAAATTTAAGTTTTTGTGATAGTTTCATTTACTTTATTCATTCTGGCAAAGAAAAATTAATATAAAAACATTACAATAAAAAATATCAGCAATTCACAGACATTTTAAGAAAAAGGTGAGCCAGGGAGCAGCAAAAGTGAAACCACTGCCATCAATGTGCTGCTCCCAGAAAATAGATGAAATGAATATAAAGAAAAAAGAACATTGAAAATCAAGTGAAATATTTAAAAAAAAATTTTTAAGTCAGACTCCGGAGGAAAAACTTTTTTGATATGTTGTAGAACTGATTTTTCTAAGACATAAAAAATTTGTTTGACAAAAAAAATGGGGAACGTGGAATTAGATGCAGATTTTTGAATATTTAAAAACAGGGGGAAAGGTGTAAAAAAGTCTGGTCACTCCCATTTTCCCTCCCTCCCCCCTTTAACTTAGACTTCAACAAATCAAAATTAATAGATATAATTAAAGTAATTTCTAATATTTTAATGGAGAGTATTCCACAATCTCACAAATCTAGTTCGTATTGAATATTTAGTCAATGTTAAAAGATATGGATGACGATTATTGATAATTACTTTACTAGAAAATAAAACTGAGTGGGAGAAATAAGTATAAACAACAAATATTTAAAACTAAATAGTTCAATCAAAAGTTATACTTGGCTGATTTATTAGGCTCGTCAACCGATTAATGTGAGACAACGACGGTGACAGCATGACTTGCATGGAAAATGTAACATTAACCTAAATATAGATAATTTATTGCTTGGAACTTAACAAATCAACATACATCAACCATCCAATAATATATTTTTAATATATTTTTTAGAGAGTTGTTGATTCATTTTGTGAGCATTATTCATGTGGCTGTCAACACACTATGACAGGGAGATAGAAATCAATATTCAATCAATGTTTCATGCATGGGTTTTATTGTAAACACATGTACTGTACTTCTCAGCTACTTTATGGTAGCTGGTCTAATTTTAAACAAAATACAAGATAGAGTAAAACACAAGAACATTTTATTGTCTAAATAAAACAAAACTGTACTTTATTTATTTATTCAAATTTTAGCCTTAACAAACAAAAATACAAAGCAATCGAGTAAAAAAAAAATCAAAGAGAAACCAAACAGGTGCTGAACACCTACATGAAGTTGGCAATCCCTAACAACATTTCTTCTAAACTTGCAATAAATAGCATAAAAACAGCCTTTTTATATATATCAACAATTGTAGTCGGATATATTAATCTCTCGACATTGGCTTCTTTTATGGACAATATCATCATGGATATTTAGTTTTGTTTGTGGTCAGTACAAGATGATTACATACGATTGAGAAAAGCATGTAACTTCATTAAGTGAGAAAAACATGTAAGTAAACCACTGATTATTCTCTCATTTACAATGCATATTTTAGGGGGGTCTGAAATCTTTAAAAAAGCTACTTGAATATAATGGAAAAGTTACAGAGAAAGGACATAGCCTTTTGCAGAATACTTGTTATGGTTTGTCAATTATGATTTTCAAAGTACAAGATGCAAATCAACAATGGACTGATGTACAAATCAATATAATAACCCCACATTAGAGTAGGAGAACATGCAATTCATTAAGTAACAAACTTTTTCTATTTTTCTAAAACAGGGCAGTAAATACTGTATAATCACATTTATAGCATATATTTTTAGCATAGGACTTTTGACCCTCATGATAGAGAAGGGAACACCCCCAACTCTCTTCACTCGTATCTTAGGTCTTAAATTGGTGCTACACACCCGTAGCAGAACTGAAAATACCTGGATCTGCCTCTGACAACTTCACATCACACTGACCGATTCAATTTTGGACAACCTCTTATCGCAATGAATGTACAAAACAGTATAAGCATTGAATATGTTTTTAATTATGTTAAGAACACATATTATTTTAGTTTTAAAAAATGCAGTTGTCCAAAATAAGACAGTAAATATAATCAAACTTATTAAATATCTAGATAATATTTTTAGAACTCTCAAGCATTGCAAATCTAACCATTAATATTGTATATGAAGCAGCTGGAACTATGCTACAGAATATTGCATGACTTCACACCTTGGCAACAAATTCACTTCAAGAGAATCTTAATGTAAAAACATGGATGCCTTCAATTAATTTAGTTTATAGCATAAATCCAGAAGAGGAGAAAAGGCACATAAAGCAAATAAACACCAATATTCTGAACATGAAAGATAAAGATACACAGCCTGTAGAGAAGAATGGAAAAAATAATGTGTCAAATATTCAATTATTAAATCAACAAAGAAAAATCTTCCAATAAAATACAGATAAAAATAATTCAGCAATCATACAGTTTACCAGGCAATTTAAAAGCATACAAACAAGTATTTCTGTCTGTTACATGGTAAGAATTTTTTTTTCGCCCTGTTTTTTCGATTGAAAATTAATGATATTTTGTATGTATATACAAAGTATGTAATTTCATACATTATTACTATTATATTAATACACTGTAATAAATAATAATGACAAAGCAACAAAAACATTGGTAATGATTATTATTTATATTTTTATTTAAAAAAGTCATCCTGACCATATTTTGGCATGTCACATGTTCATGTCAAATAAAATTTAATAGTCTGGACATGGCGTTAATGAAAACTAAAAGGTTCCCGTCACTATCTCACTGTAACTTGATTTATATTTGGTCCTTTCCAAAATCTTGTTGATATGACTGGCCATTTTCTCTAACCTCATGCTCTGTCTTAAGTTGGTTACTGTACCATAAAATTGGTAACATTTTGACTGTTGTCTGGTAAATCATTGCAATCATTAACCAGACTACCTGAATAAAGGTGCATATTTGTTAACTTTTCTAATTTCAAAATTTTGCCTCTGTGTATTGGATTTTTAACTATTTAATACGAAAACATAAATATTATTAAATCCTTTTTCTTTTCGTCAAGAGTCACTGCGCCTCGGAATAGTTCGCTAGATAGACAGCGCATTATAAATGCTGTTTTATTATTATTATTATTATTATTATTATTATTATTCTCTCTGTAGCCTTTGATACTGTTTGAAAAAATTAAGTCTCTTCAAATTGTCAAATTCTTTAAAAGGAGAAGTTTTATCAATTTAATTTATGTAATGTAATTAAAATGAATATATTAGTAACTTTCTTTACAGTACTGTAAATTTAGATAGAGTTGAAGAAAATGGTTTCTCACTAATTAAAAGAAATACTGTAATGTAATACTTTATATATTTTTTTATAAAACTGGTATTTGATTAATGCTAATAAACCAACTCCAACTTGTAACGGGTAGTCACGATTATGTCGAAAAGGTTTCCCTTCTGCTTCAGGTTTAGGTTCATGGCTCACCTGTCGATATGTCTTAACTTCATACATAATTTTCTGCGCCAGATGAAGGGCTTTTGTCTTTACTTCAACAGTGCGCTTCTCGGTTTTTAAATCAGTTGCTACTCCTGATATAATCCATTGGAGTAGGGTGAAGAGCTTGGTAGGGATAATTTCATTCAAGTTGCATGAGTTCAATGTTCCTTCAAACTTCCAACAGCTTGCTTGTAAGATTTCCTGAGGTACAATTTTAGAACAACGAAAGATTGCATCTAAATCACTTTTACACGAATTTGTGACTACTGCTGACTCTATAGCCTGTCTCTTATACACATCTAGATGTGTATAAGAGACAGTTACTACATAGGCCTATTTTGAAAAAAGTGATATGTAAAAAGTATGTTTAGTTGTGACTGATTTGTGGAATAAAGAATTGAATTGGAAAAAATAATAATTGAAGATGAATAGGTACCTATATTTAATCTTCATTTGGTTTTTAAGCTTTCATTGGTTTTAGAATAAAGACATTTACAACTTAAATACGTATGTGTAATGTTATCATTCATGGATTTTTATGTGCTGGTGCTCTTAGAATAGATCATTAATAGATATTAATACATCATTAATAAATATAAATGTATATAATCCTGCATCGTTTAAAGTTTTATAGTAATCATTGAAAATTTATCTTCTGAACTAAGAAATATCTGATACATGCTCTAAGTAGTGAAAGTCCATAGCATCCCAGAAAAAAAATACCAACAAGAAATGGTCATTGTTATGCTATAATTGTTATTATATTTATTCTTATTGTTGCGGCCAGGATTATGTATTAATGTCTCATTTTTTTTTACCATTCTTCAAGACAATTCTACCTGGGATGAAATGACAAACCAAACACCAGACAAGCAGAAGGAGCAAAATTCTAAAATGTCACGAACAAAAACTGTTGCTTTTGAGGAGCCATTAAAAAATAAAAAGAACGATTCTTCTATGATTAGCAAAAACATGCGAGATGAAAATGAAAATGATGAGGAAACAAACTTAGCCACTGGCAGTACAAATTCTACAGCCTCTTTGCAGAAGGTGCAATGTATTTCTAATGGTGACTCAACATAAAACTTGAAGAATTATGGTGGTTTGTGAGAGTGCCACTACATTTAGTGTGAAATGCTGATTAATTGGAGAGCAAATAATGACTGTTAAAATGGTGTAGAGTTACTGTCTGTTGAACTGGTAAACAGTTAATGAATGCTGAACTTGTAGTTTGTTCTGGTGAACAATTAATGACCACTGAACTAAAAACAACAAGTGTATGGATGTTGAACTGGTGAACAGTTCCAGAATGTTAGACTTTAGGTTGTACTGGTGAGCAATTAATGACCATTAGTTAATTGATGAACAGTTGATGAAGTTGATTTGGTGAACAGTTGATGAATGCTAGACTTCAGGTTTAACTGGAGAGGGAAAATGGCTATTGAACTGGCAAACAAGTTGGGATGTTGAACTGATGAACTATTGGTTGTTCAGTCAACACTTAATGAATGTTGATCTGGTGAACAGTTAAGGAAACTGGTGAGCAATTAATAACCATTGAACTGGTGAACAAATTTGTGGATGGTTTAGTGAACAATTGAAGAAGATAATGTTTGGAACAGCTAATGAATACTGAACTTAAGGTTTTACTTGGAGAAAAAAACAACAATTGGACTCTCAAACAAGCTTGTGGATGTTGGATTGTTCAGTTAACAGTTAATAAATGTTGAACTTAAAGTTGTACTGGTGAGGAATTAATGACTTGACTTGGTAAACAATTAGTTCATTAATGGTTTGGTTTTCAGCCAACAGTTAAGAAGTTTTGAACTTAAAGATGTACTGGTGAGCAATTAATGACTTGACTTGGTAACCAAGTTCATTAATGGTAATGGTAACAAAGCAATGTTGATCTGGCTGTACTGGTGAGACTTAAAGACTGTTGGCCTGGTAAACAAATTTATGGATGTGTAACTGGTAAACATTTATAAATCCTGAACTTTCATGAGCATTGAAATGACTATTGTATGTACAGTGAATAGTTATTCACTATTTAATTTGTGAATCCAGGTAAAAATAACCACTGAACAGCTGAACAGTTGAAGAAAGATTTCGATGAAAGAGTAGCAGTTAAATAAAACACAGTTACAGTAGTAATTGTTGAGCTATTTTTAGTATAGTTTAATGCCCATTTACAACTGTATTTGTTAAATGCTTCTAATGATGTTGTCAAGCCAAGGCTAGTAAAATATTAACTAAGGGGTGCAGAAGAGGCAGTCACACTGACATTTATCTTGAACAAGTGAAAATACAGTATGTACTGTATGTCTATCCAATTTTGCAGCTGGGATCTATAAACTAGCATGGCCAGATTGCTTTGATGATTTTATTACCATAATGTAGGTGGTATAAAATATTTCGGGAGAAATCATGATTTTTGCCTCCAGTGGGCTCAGATGCAATTGAAAATTTGTCTGTCCGTCTATTTAGAGCTCTCAAGAAGCAACATTGTGTGCTACTGTACAGTTTATTTATTTGCATAAAATAATACAAATAATAAAATAAGGCCAAAAAAAAAGATTGTTTACCCTTTTTTTTTAAATGATAAAGAGGGGCAGGTGGGAAAAGTTTTTTTTAAATTTATTTTTTTTTAAATTCTCATCCGATGGAATAAAAATAACCCACAGAGGCCTAGAATGGCAATACTTACATCAGACAACAAATTTTGACTTATTTGTAGGGCATCTGGCAAAAAAAAAGATAAATTCACTCACATTTTTTTAATTTGTAAAGAAAAAAGCTAAAAAAAACCCTTAAAAATTTTTTTTTGTTTTTCTGCCCCTATTTTTTTCAGTGAGTTAGGGGTGGGTGGGGGAGGGCAAACAAACAATTTCTTTTTGGCCTAATGTAAGCTGGTTTTAAAAAAAATCTTTCACATACAACAACAAGTACACATGCTGCTAACAAGGTAGAATGATGCTTCAAAAAAAAAAAAATCTCTACTGTATGTGGCTTAAGGAGTGTTTTATAGTTGTGAGTAAAAACCCTTCAGTGATAGGCCTTAAACCCAGGACCTTGGAATTGGAAAGTAATCATCTTAACTACCAAGCTACGACAGCTCCACTCCTTACTAATATTGTTCCTAGTTTTTTAAGATTTCATGATTAATATTCAAGGGTACATGATGAATTGTAAAAAGTAAATGATTTACAGCTTATATTATAAAGTCATCATTATGCCTACTGGATAGGCTAACATTTCAATTGTGATTACTTTTTGATATTCCACATAATTTTTTTGGAAACTGAACTCAACTCAAGAAATTGTTTTCATTTAGTCGATAACTATTGACTTATTTTTGCATATTTATTGTTTTTTTTTTTTGTTTATACAATCTATTATATTAATGAGCTTTATGTCTGTTCATATTTTTCTTAAATCTTGTATCAATATATAATACTGATTAGGGCCTTTGTTTAAAAAAATTAAAAGTGAAAAAACTGTTTACCACAACAGTGCTGTTGGTAACAATGGCTGGATCTCAGTAGAGATAAAAATTTGATATAAAGCGTAAAGGCAAGTAAACAGCCTGAAACAGAACCAGAGCTTTTTGTACAATACTACTCCCTTCCTCAGTGGCAAAGTATATTTTAAATAAAACTTCATGGTGACAATTGTTTGACTATGTCTTTAATACTGACCATTAATGTTTTTATTGTATTATATAGTATATATTGAATTGTATCATCAGCATTCTTTTCCTTACTATCATCATTATTGTTATACACTATCTATATCTTTTTCTATTATTGCACTATTTATTGTTTTTTTTTTTGGTACAACTTTCTTTTTCTTTTATTATTCAAATTTAAAGAAAGAAAGAAAGAAAAAATATTGAATCAATCAAGTGTAGGGGGTGTTAACAGGTAGTGGACATCTCTTAAGAGTCTGTTGATACAATAGTAGTTTTAAACTCCATTCATTACCTTTAGTGATACCACTATCATGAGCCAGCATATACAAGTCTCTGCGATTTATTTATTTTGGGGTTGAAGTGGGATGGAAAAGACGAAGTAATCTAGAACTTAATTAAGTTTATGAAAAATCTTCAGTAATTGAAAAACAGTATGGCTCTCGATAAAACTGTCTGGCAAATTGAATAAACATTACTTTAATTTGAGAAAATACTGTAGCATTGTTTACCTATTCTTGTACTAAAAAAAACACTTCAGTTATAGTATTTTCTTTGTTAATTGCTGTTTGTTGATAATACTTAATAAGACTTTAAAGTAGGCCTATACTTTGGATGGTTGTGGGTAGATTCAGATGGGGTAGGCTGTATTGCACAAGCAATCAAAGATGTATAGCTCCGGATGAATCCTCATGCAACAGGCAGGATGTTGAATCATGGAGGTACTTCCGTGGTTGAATAAAGGCTTAAGAAAATGTACGAGGTAACCTTGTAGAAATGGCACTTAAATTTTTTTTTTTTAATGGCAAAAATGAAGAATTTCAAGAGGTCCAACTTTCGGGGTTTCGTTGAAACGCAATCCTATCTCATAAAGTACTAACACAACTAGAGGGCGTCCATCAAAGGAACATAATGGCATTCGTATCGAAACGCGTGCTGAGTCTACAGAACGCATGTTCGAATTGAACTCTATTGGCATTCTAATAGGGCGCCCCCTGTCTCGGTAGTACTTTGTTTTTCGTTTCATTGCGTGCATGCAAAATGAAGGCAGTCGGACCTCTTACAATTCTATACTCTTTGGATGGATGAGGAAAGCTCTTATTTTGTTTGAACTTTAACTAAATAAGTTGCAGGAAGTCAGTGGGTGGTTAGCAGGCATAACCTTCATTGCGTACTAAATCAGTTGCGAACAGAACTGTAATTTCAAGTGTTAGTCAAGCAAATACTAGACTGCAAACATCATCTGCAAGAACATCATTTTGACCTTTTTATTTGCTGTTTCCGAATAAATTTTTTCTGGGTATTTTGTGATATTGACGTAAGAATAATCCATCAATAAATAAAGTTGAATGACGATACACTACGTCAGTATTCATTCAGTGCTAGCGATACAGATGCTAGCAGTACTAGCTCTTCCTTTAATGATACAATCCCGTAATTGGACTAGGAACATTGCGCGTTGCTATTTTATCCTTTCCTTTACTACTGTACACAATACATCGTGTTACAGGTATTTTAAAGTTTATTTGTTTTATTACTTTAAAGTTAATAATAATATCTCGAATTCATATTGACGCCATTCCAAAAAAAAAAAAAAGGAAAAAAAAAAAGATGATTCAAGCTTTATTCTTCTATCATCTTATATTCGTACTGCGTGAATTGTCGCTTTATTTCCTCCTCTGGGCCGGCTTATAGCCCCTTTTCTTTAAGCCAACTCATGGTGGGCCTGTTAGCCGGCTGTGTGGAACTCACTCTTCTGACCTTACTGATGAGAGTCCAATAGCTGCACAGGTAACACCTAATCCAAGCAATATTTTTGTTATAGTTATAACCTGTCATTTTCACTCTCGTTGAGCCATTTGATTCGACCAAGCCCTTTATTTCTTTATTAAGCCTCTTTCAGTGTGCGGTTCCGAACTCTGGAACGGCTTACCGGACGAAATTAGTACAAATGTAATTCTCTCTTTGCATTTAGGACTTCCTTAAAAAATTCCCCAGTTTACGTAGAAGACGGTACTTAATTTTGTAATTTTTTCTGATAATTGTTTTCTTCAGTTAAGTACCGTAGCTCTTGCAGTAAGGGCCTTTCCCCGCGGGGGCCAATATAGGCCTTT